AATAAAAATTAATATATTTTTCCCATAAGTGAAATTACACACAAGGCCTATGAAAACGACACCGACGGGCGGAATTAGTGATATGACAAATAACCGTATTACTTAACAAGCGTCTCCAATCGTTGCTGGCTGGACTCGCTGTTCTTCCAACATCACAGACCGAATTTCTCGGTCGGGTATGTGGATGACACCGTCGGCATTATCGACCGAGATTAATTGCGTCTGTAGGTCAAGAGCATTTCGGAAGCTGTCGGCCGGCCCTCTCGCACAAATTGGGTTTGAGTTGCACACAAACCCAGGTAGTAATCAGAAGCCAGGTAATGAGACCGAACGACCCACTGCTACGTCAAGGAACGTGTGGAATTATTTATCGGACCTTGAGTAGTTGTGGACAAAGCAAATTCGTCGGTGAAACCGGAAGACTGCTCCGAACACGAATGGCCGAATATGCGACAGCGGTGCAGGGAAATGGAGCCAGATCTCAATATGCAGCTCATGCGGCGTGATCCCGCCATATATTCAAATTATAAGAGACCGGCATTTACGCTAGAGTTGACAAGCACGTGAATCGTGAGCTGCTTGACTCATGGTTCGTTAGCCCCCTATCTATTATCAAGCTCAGTAGCTTTCTCCTTTCGCCTTCGGTGCTGAGACATCGCCTGACCGGACTAATTAACCACGCGGGGAGCGTACATGAGAACACTGTTCCCAAATTCAGGGTCGGTGGGCCTGATGGTCAAGCAATCAGCACACCAACATCCAACATCCGTGATGATGTTATGCGTATGCATGCATTTGAAGGGTTAGAGGCAGAGCCCTTGATGTCCCTATTTATGTACAATGCTTTCGCATATTCGCACATAAAATAAGGTTGCAAACATTTGCAGTGTGATCGGATCCCAGTACAATCGTAATGATAAGGAAGCACGTCTGTTCACTGTAAGTCAGTGTGGACAGGTTGTGTATGACAGTGTTTTACAAAGCTGGCTGCTAGTATTCATGTTACAAGGGCCGGTTTCTTTTGAAAACCAAACGAGCAAGTTTTCTTTTAAACATGCAAATTATGTCGCCCGTCACCATCTCACCTGGTAGCGAGTTCAGTGGTCGGACAACCAGCTGGTTAAGCGAAAATTTCCCACGGTCTCACCGCGTGTGTTCACTCTTGACTTTGTGAGGATGATCGCGTAATTGGTTTGCACGGGCAAACTCAAAAAATTCTCCGTTCTTGATGAGCAACCTTGGCCACGGACAATCCGGAATGTCCAGAGTAGACTGCAGTTTAGCTGCCTACAAGATAAAGGGAATAAGCCAAGCATAGTCAGCCTCTCCTGGTAAGACGGATGCTGTAAACCACCGACCATCTTCGTTGGTTCGCATTGCACATGTTCGAGTAAGTCAATATTCTTCCTCATCCAAGGTGAAGCTGCTGGCATTTCATACTTCAGATGGGGTCCTGCAAAGACGTCGAAAGGTCTTTTAAAGAGTTCGGGAGGGAATATTTTAAATGCACGTCTGATCCAGCGTAAAGTAGTTGTTACCTTCTGTATCTTCTTCCTACAGTGCTCTGATGACATTTGATTATTGGTCGTCCATACACCCAAATCTCTGTTTCTTTCTACGGTTTCTAATGCCGTCCCGTTAATATATTACTGATATTTGGGAGAGGCATTTCGTACGGTGTTTATGTGCATGACCACGCATATGGACATGTTAAAATTCAAGAGCCATCTGTTCGACCAAACACTCACTTTGTCCATGTTCTACTGCAACTTCTTTGCGTCATCATCGCACTTGACCTCACTCCAAATTTTTATGTCGTCCGCAAACATGAGGGCCTCACAATCCAGCTTGCTGATGCAGCTATTAACATAAATCAGGAAGAGCACTGGGCGTAAAACAGAACCTTGTGGACACTACTTGACACCTTTGCCCATTCCGATGTATAATTCATTGTATATAAGGGAGATAGGCATAGCCTTTGAAAACCCTATTTACCGACATAGACTGAAAAAACGTACATCTTTTCACGTATATACACCGGTATATTTTAGCAGTTCTTATCAAGTAAATACGTGA